AATGTTCGCTACTAGGGGCTCCTGGCCTTACTACTAGGAGCAATGTTTACTAGGAGCAATGTTCGCTACTAGGGGCTCCTGACCTTCCTACTAGGAGCAATGTTCGCTACTAGGAACAAAGGGCATCTCTACTAGGAGCAATGTTGGCTACTAGGAACAAAGGGCATCTCTACTAGGTTTGGTGGATGCAAACGACTTGAACGTTTCTTGCTTCGTTGAGAGGTTCGCACTGTGGTGGGCTCATGCTGTGCGGTGGCCCGCGGGGCGTTGCCCCTCCCCGAGCAGGTGGACCCAGCGATGAAAAGAGGTCGCAGCTCTTTTGGGAAGAACCCTTTTGTGGCGTATACAGATATACAGTATTATACAGTACTATCACTTCGGACATGGACTTGACTACTCCCTGCTAGAAACAAAGCAGAAAAAAGGCAAGAAAAACATGTACAACAAGGGAGAAACAGGAAAAAGAAGAACACGTATACAAAGAAAGCTACTAGTAACAAGTGCCACGCTAGTAGTAACAGGTGCCTTACTTCTCTTTTTCATCTCTTTCTTTCGTTCTCGTTCTCAGGCTGCGTGAGGCCCTCGCGGCGGAGCGAGTCGTCGACCTCTCCGAGTTCGTGGCGCCCGCGGCAGGACGACCTGTCGAGAAAGCATCGCGAGAGCGCGGGAGCGGTTCTTTAAGGGAAGAACGATGGTTAGGTTCTTTAAAGAACAAGGAGTAAGGTTTGCACACTCAAAACCTCAAAGCTTGTTCTTGCGCCTCTAGCTGTTGTGCTTTAGCCTGCATGTGCAGGCTTGGTGCTTCATGAGCAACATTTGGATGCACAAAAGGTGCTGGGCCCTAAGCTTTCCGGGCAGGCCATGATTGTAGGCACTGCTTCGTCCTGGTCGTTGTCTTCCTTGCTCGTTACTTTGTCTTGACGTGGAGGCCATCGCTGGTAGGTTGGAGGCCATCGCCAGTAGGTTGGAGGCCATGGCTACTGTTAGGTTGGAGGCCGTTGCTTCTAGGTTGGAGGCCATTGCTCTGAGTCAATCTTGAGGCCATGGATGCCGTTTACTGGCAAGACCGCGACAGACACCTACCTCAGGGAGCAGATTTTGCCACGCGTGGAGCGGGCGCGGAGAATGGGAAAGAGGGACGGGATACGGGAAGTCTTGGGCTGCGGAGTTGAAAGATGATCAAGCAGTGATGATGTGGCCGAAGCAGGACGTAGTGAAGGTGTCAATAGAACAGAGCTGATGCAACATCACTTCTACTCCTTGCATATGGAGCTTTGAAGAAAGTCAGACGTGGACGTGATGTGCTTGGTGCTGTTTGAGGCATGGCAGAAAACTCGAAGTCCTGGACCGTGGTATCAGCTCTTCCCTTGGTTTTCCCTCGCTCTTAGGTTGGACGCTACGAACGGGGCTCCTGGCCTTACTACTAGGAGCAATGTTCGCTACTAGGGGCTCCTGGCATCGCTACTAGGAGCAAGGACGCTAGTAGGTTGGAGGCCATCGCTCTTAGGGCCTTCTTTGTCTCCGCACCTAGGCCTGGTCCTGCTGTGGGGCACTCAGTAGCTCCACTGTTCCAGCGGAACGAGACTGAGACCATTGAGACCCAGGCCATTGAGGACAACGATGATCTGCTAAGTCCGGGACCCTATATGCTGAACAGTTGGAGTTTGGGAAACCAACGGCCAATGTAGATAGGTATCTAGTGAAATCAGAGGGTCTGCCTGGGGTATCGAGAACGCACCAGCTAGCTCTTCACTCCTAACTGTTTCGGATACTTGAATCACCAACAGCTGATTTTGCCTGGAAGAAAGTCTTTTCGCATTATCTTCGGGTTTTGTGGGCTCGAGTGTTTCCCGATGGTGGCTTCAATCACTTGGCATGATCCTCAACAGAAGCATGGCAGTTTGCAAGATTTAACTTGGTGGTTTACAAGATTTGCCCCTTTTCTTCAACTCATTCGGTTCGCAACATGGCTCACGGCTATGCCCCTACAGCGATGGAGGATGATGGCAGGGCATCTCAGAGTGGCAGAATGGAGCGTTTCTATTGCGCCGTATCCATTAGGGGAAGGAACAACAGGGAAGTGTCAGGGTTGACATTGCAGAAATGGACGGAGCATGGAAATGTTAGTAGGGTGGAGGCCATTGCTAGAGGCCATCGTTAGTAGGTTGAAGGCCATCGCTACTAGGGTGGAGGCTATCGCTAGTAGGTTGGAAATGCTCTTAAAAACCATCGAGTGCTTTTGGACATTTTTGCACTCAGGTTGTGGTGGCTGGATCCTCAGATGTCGACAGAGTAATGACAGAGTAAGGAGTGTAGAACAGCTGTGAGTTTGGGTCGTCGTTACCACTCCTGAATTATTCTTTTGAATTAAGAAGCTATTAGAAACAAGTGCCACGCTAGTAGTAACAAGTGCCTTACTAGTAGTAACAAGAAGCTATTAGTTAATTTAATTTATTATTCTTGAAGCGATGGGCTCCAACCTGGCGGCTAGCGACGGCCTCGAGCTGCTCAGGTGTTGGGGGTCTTTGCTTCGAGTCGGACGGCGTGAGATACGGACACTGGCGGCACTACGGCCACGGCCAGGGCGCCTACGAGAAGGTCGAGGATTTGAAATATGTGGGACAGGCGCGTAAGCGAGAAATCTACAAGTTGGTGTTTTCGAACTGGTGTTTCAATTCTTTTGCATTCCATTTTCTTTTGAATTTATGTTTTGTTCTTCTTTTGTCTTTTCCGTATTGTTGATCTTTAACAATTCTTTTCTTGTTTCTTGTACTTTCCTTTGTTCCTTTCAATTTGTACTATTGCTTAGAAGTACAAGACACTTCAATCTGTCTCGCAAGAGACTCTATTCTTGGAGGCCATCGCTACTAGGGTGGAGGCCATGGCTAGTAGGTTGAAGGCCATCGCTACTAGGGTGGAGGCCATCGCTATTAGGGTTGAGGCCATCGCCAGTAGGTTGAAGGCCATCGCTACTAGGGTGGAGGCCATCTTTACCAGGGTGGAGGCCATCGCTAGTAGGTAGAAGGCCATCGCTACTAGGGT